TTTGAGTTTAATATGCCAGCAAATGAAAAGCTGTAAGTTTGAAAGTTGCACGACGATTTGAGCGTGCTTACATCTGGCCAGATGAGCTGATGATCGGTAGCAGGTAGGTCGTTGGGGGAACTGGGTGAGTTGCGAAGTTGCCGAATTTTTACGGAGCCTTTGTTGTTGTTGTGACTTTGTATGATGAAGTTCGTTCATTTGTTTGTTTATTCGTTTTGTTTATCTGGGTCAAAAAAAGCGAGCACAATGAGGTTGAAGAAGTTTGCGAAAGAGAAGGCAAAGATATTGTTGCGTGTACTCTACGCTGCTTGGTGTAAAGTCAAAAATTTGTATTTTTGTCATTAGCGTCTGTTAATGTTCTTTTAATTTATTTTTTGTTGCTAATATTCTCCACTTCTTTCAGATGTTTTTGAAGTTTTTCAATGTTTTTTGATATTTTTATATTTTTTCGTACTTTAAAATATCTCATTTCAGCATTTTCTTAGTACATTTTTTTTCTCACCTCATTACTGCAAATATTTTTAAACATTTTTTTTTTACTTTCGTATTAGCTTGCATGAAATTTCGGCAATTTTTAAAACTTTCAATGACTCCAAAACAACATTCATCACTTCTCAGTTATCAGCTGCTTTCTTCAGCCAACGAAATCATTTGAACAACTTAATGTTTAACTTCATAAATGTTATTAAAGCACTTAACGGTGTATCTTCAAATCAACACTCACAACTAACACGTAGACATCATTTCATTATTTACACTCTTATTCAATAATTCATATGCACAAGCATCAATTTGACCTGAGCAGAGCTGAATATGAAAACTTAAAAAAATATGAAAACATAATCTTTTTTATTTTGATGTATGTTCTGCTTATATTTTTTGTGTTTTCTTCATAAGAACGGAATGAATAAACACAATTATATTGTCAAGTAACTAGCTGTTTGTGTTTGTCTGTTCGTGTATGTGTCTGGGTATAATAGAAATATTTTGTGTTGCTATATTTGAAAACGAATATATGAATGATATACTGTTGTATAAGTACAAATACAGCAAAAATATACACACATTCACACATACTTCAGCATTTTTAGTCTCAACCCAAATTTCATTACTTTAATGTGTTCATTTTAAATTTTTAAAAAACTTTCCTCAAACATTGCACTACCCGAAAAACATACAGATGAAAAACAGCATGCATGTTCGTACAAACCCAACTGAATGTGCACAAAACGAAAAAGTATCGAACTAAAATGAGGGTAAAAAATAACTTTTTAAGAACCAGTTTAGCTAAAAAAAGGAAAGTAAAATGAAGCAAAGATGAAAAATATTAGAGATGTCCGTGCATTGCATTGATACAAATCCATTTCTCAAGATATATTCTCTCTGCACGAAGTTATGCGAGATAAAAACTAAAGTATCTCCGGAATGATGTTAGCATCAGCAACTGCGTTCTCTCAAAACAATCACCTAAACCCATCAATAAATCACTGGAGAAATAAATGGCCGTACCTTAAAATACACACGTTGCAAATATTTATAAGCAAGTTCATAAATAGACGTAGACAAACATGCAGATATGTACGCTGACGGTTTGAGAACGTTTAACACAAAATCGCACACAAGAGCTGAAACAAGAACACAAAAATTTGGTGTCACTTCAATAATTATCTGATCATCTTTCTTATTAGCATCAACACGCTCAATATTCACAAATAAGCAGGTATATTATCAGAGAGGCAATATGAGCGGCAAACGGGCAGGCAGGCAGGCCTTCAGACCGAAGCATTTCAATAAATATTTACTGGTGCTCGCAATCTCAAGCACCAAACAAGACTGTAGTTTAGGCAGCAATTTGCCGTTTGGAACTTCAAAGAGTTCAAACGGCGCCGAAATTTAATCTATGGTCCGGTGAACATTTTAATGTAAATGGCAAGCTGTTTGATTGACAACTCTCATTCAAATTGATTCACATTTAATTAGTTCAGTCCTCGACATAAAATCTGAACAATTCAAACCAATAACAATTCAACAATTAGAAATTTACTCGATATTTCTTTATCCGTAGTATGCCTATTATGCTACTATTATAACTATACGCGTATCTATAATATATAACTTTATATAGAAACTCAAACACGATATGACGATAGTCTGGATATCATATTTAGTGTTATATTGTTAGTATTATAGGTATTTTAATTGGTACGTATAATGCAATAATTAGTATATAGTGTAATGTATTTATTGAATAGTAACTAGTTTACAGTGTATAGTACATATAATGTAGTAATTAATTTGATGTATGGTACTTGGTATTCAACAAGGTTGTGCGCGTGTTATGTATCGCACGTCTTACCCACCTATATAAGCGAGAGATCCGATGCGAACGAGTTACACACGAAACGTTATCGTCTGGTGAAGACAATTCAAAAACATCTACCTATCTATATTCATCTTGGTGAATAATTTTACTCTTCAAAGAATAATATTTCTGATATTATATTTATTTTCGTGAAACATTTCTGATCTGAACTATTAAAGAAGTGAGTTGTTGTTTTTAATTTTTCGCATATTTTTGTACGTTATATATATTGTTTGAAAATATTTTTATAAATACATGGTACTAATCCTAGATGCAACGGTCAGTTTGTGTATCACACTATCACACACACACACACACACACACACACACACACACACACACACACACACACACACACACACACGCCCACACACACACACACACATATATATATATATACACACACAAAAAGAAGAAACACACACACACACACACACACACGCACAGATAACACATAAATAATAATGTTTCTATCGCTAAGTACTATACTATACTATACTAGCTGAAACGAGTGCGTGACGACGATGTTTCATTGCTTCAAAAATGCGGTTAAATATGTCGCATACCTATCACGTTCATGTGAAATTTTTGTTCGGTCATAAAATTCCTAATCGGGATGGGTGAACAATAAGGCGGGTACCTTAGTCATTACACCATCACATCGCTTGAATGCAATTATATTTACATATTTTTTAAAAAGTGCTGTTATGTTCTTTACTATTTAGCAATTTACTAACTTACCAATAAAAATACTGCAATATCTTTCTAGCTGTTTAGTAATTTACTATCTTATTAGTAGATGTACTGCAAGATTTAGTAACTTATTGGTATAAATGCTTAAATATTTTTTTAACTAATTATTAATTTTTACAAGCTTCTCGGTAAAAATACGGACTCATTTTTCTTACTAGGCAAGTGTCGGTGCAACGGTGCAATGTCAACCAACGGATCAAATGCCGCCTGCCTCTCCATGAAAGAGATCACAGATATCGTCATGGGATTTCAGAAGACTCAGGTGACTGATTCGTCCATTCATACTCCCTGTTTTATTTTTTTGTGTGTTTCGTTGATTTATATTATTTCTCAAGTTATTTATTCATTTAAAACGAAATTATAGTAAGTTTTAGGTATTTTGGTTAATTATTCTTAAATAAATTATTCATTTGAAAGAGATTCGTATTGACTTTAAAGCTTTATACGTTACTTGTAAACTACAATTTCATGATTAATTTATGAAACCTGTAACCTTCAAAATAGCATCACCTTGTCGCTTTGACTCAACTGACTTTTGTCAGATATTAAAAAAACGAATTAAATCGAATCAAGTGATAAGAGACCTAGTAGGAGTAATTTGATAATAAATGAACAAATTGTGTTCGTGCCATTATTTTATTCTAATCGGTGAGCAATCAAATGATGAGGATAGTTCAAAATTTTGTTGTACAATTTATAATTTAGTAGTCAGTCATGAGAGCGTCAGACATAGGCCTATTCGTAATCTTCTTGTGATGTTGCTTGTAGACATTTAGACGTTCCAAGATAGACTATTGCAAGATAGATAGACAATTAGACATCACAAAATAGACAATTCGACATTGTTAAAATGGCATGTGGTGGTGTTGGACAACAAATCGGAATAAGACAACAAAATCAGTAAAATTATCACGTTTTAAACACACATTGCCTGCCTACTTAACGTAGACTCAGATAGACTACTTCCACTAACTTGTTCACTACATCACATTTAACAAACAACAACACTGATGGCACACAAAAAGATGGAAAATTTAAAAAATGGACCGCTCGATGAAATTCAAGAGCGAGTAGCCCCACCATTTTTAACCTCAGGCAGTCACCACTAAAATTTTCATTACAAACCTCTACAGTACATTTCTTATTTAACCATCATTTTTAACCATTTTTAACCCATTCAGTGCATTTTTTCTTTTTTTAACCGACCAATCAAATTTTTTGCAGCCAGCACCAGACACTTCTTTTTATAGAAACACTATAAATATATAGATATCTCTATACTTCTTTATATATATATATATATATATATATATATATATATATTTATTTATTTATATAAGTTTTGTCGCATTAATTTTTTTGGATTTTTACGCAAGATGTGGTTATAAATTAAAAAATTTGATGAATTTAATCTCAGCGGATGGCTTGGTAGGAGAACGAGCACGAACAAACACACAAGCCTGAACTTTGAGCGGCAAAAATTGAAACTACGAATAAAATTTTTTCAGCCGTTTCGTACAATGAAGTAGTAAAAATTGGTTACCTTTTTAAAAAGCGCTTTTATTTATTCTCAATTTCAGAAAATGAAACCTAAAAACTTTTGAGAATTTTATATAAGGCCGGATCACACTTTAACCTCAAAGCCATATAATCATTTATCAGTTACTGATAACTTTCTATTGCACATAACAGACATATAATTTCATAATGGTTCTCTCGATCAAGCAAGAAAAATGTGTGTGTCGGAAGAGAATTTTATGAAAAAAATTAATAAAACACAAAAACATAATTCCTCTTATAAAAATGTGTCAAAGCAGAGATCGGACTGAGAAAAAAATTTCAAATATTTTATTCATTTCAACAAGCTTGTAATTACTTTCAGCAAATGGCCTCTACCCAAAGCAGCATTAAAATCTTTTGCAATCTTGGTGCAAAAAAAACCAACACTGTGACAATTGCTGCTGTTATCATCAATCAGGTAATGACATTATTAGCGATAGGAGTAGTGACGTCAACAGTGAAAATAGAAATTGCGATGGCTTTCGTAGCTACCGGAGCAGCAAATTTAAAAAATTTAATCATTGTTAAAAATCACCTTTTTTTAATCAGCATAACTTAAAAGTTATACTCAACTAGTGTTATTACTACCATTGACGAGAGTAGTAATAAGTAACATTAATTCAAAAAAGAACATTACATTGTTACTACCATTGTTACTAACCATCATTTACTACTACTTGCTATTTAAATACAGATAGTATACACAGCTACTACTCTTGGGATATTTGAAGAGTTGACTAATTCACTGAGACCAATGACTGCCTGTATGCTGGCTCTCAAACTTGGGCTAGACGCTGACGCTACTGAACGTCTGCTGAATGCACTGTCAGCTCTTTCACTGGTCGAAAAATCTTTCAATTCCAGCAATTCGGGTGAGGAATTTGTTGTTGTTAGTGGTGTTTAGGCTAGGAATTTGTTAATTTTGTTGTTGTTGGTGGTGTTTCGATAAATTTTATTTGTTGTTTTTAGTGGTGTTTCGGTGAAAAAATTGTTGCTGCGTTCATTACCAACGAACGTGTTATTGACGATGTTGTTAATTAATGATTGGTTATGACGTTGGCATGTTTTTGTTGTGGCATGATTGCTATTGAAGGTTCAGGATGTCTTCGAAAATTCGCAATCTTCATGATGTCAAATTTGTCGATGACGATTTAACGGTGCTATTTTAAATAGAAAAAAAATTTGTTGTATGTCTTCATGTAGCTATTATAGTATCATGCTTAGTACTTCTTCACATGAATTCATCAGAGTACTACTCTAAATTTTGATTCAAAATTTACGTAACCACAGTAAAACAATGAACAAATTCTAATTAATTCATAAATTCTAATTAATTCATAAATTTTAATTAACTCACCGAATCTAAAAGTGACAAACTTCCATAACCAAAACAACCAATTAAATCAATTATCCAATTATTCAGCTGTATACAGAAGTAGTACTTGTGCCGAGAAGTATCTAGTCAACTCGAGTCCATTCACAATGAAACCACTGATTCACAAAGTTGGAGACCTATATGCTGTGTTCGGCCAACTGACGAAGGGTATCAAAGAAGGTGAGATAGATAAAGATAGATAGATAAATAGATAGCTTTTTGATTATTCTTGCTGCGGTCAATTAATTGTTTTGCTTGTGTAACATTTGTTGTAAAGACTTTGTAAATGTTGTTGTGATTGGGGAAAAACTTTTGACGAATAGTATTTCATTTTTCAAATTTTAATAGTTAGATGAGAAAACGCATTTTTTGTTATTTTTTTCAAATTTGGCAATAAATAATTATATCTAAATTGATAAACTTGAAATCGCTTAAAAAATGCGCGCAAGTCTGTATTCAAGTTAGTGTGCATATGCATGTGTGTTCACGCACACATATATTATTCCATATATTATACTTATTATTTATATGTATATTATACATATTATTATTAAATATATAGAGTGTTTGTGTATAAGTATGTGTGTTGAGGTGTGTGTGGATGTGTGAATGTTTTACAGTAGACAAGTGTATTCGACAAGCAGACTGTTGAAAAAGTTTAGTTTTGAGACAGTTCCCCATCGATTAACATTGATCACATCGTTAGGCGAGCTTCAACATATTCTTGTTTTTTTAACTTGCCTAATTTTTTATTATTTTTTAAATTTGTAAATTCAAAAGCATAGGTTGCGTAATAATATATTTAACATCCACACTAACTCTAGTAACCGAAACTTAGAATTTACTGATACAGTTCATTATGGTACAATAAAAACATAAATAATAATAATCGTTATTATAACAATAATTATTATTATTACAATAATAATAATTAATATAATAAAAAACCCCGTTTGCAAATATCTAGAACTATTTTCGTAATTATTTAGGGAGAAAAAAATGAATTCAGGTTAACTTAGGTTGGATGGATGTGAATATTTCATATACATAACAGTTATAACAGTATAGTATAGTGCTTTATAAGTTTATATAGTATTATAGTAGTATTGTAATATAGAAGTATTGTAGGAATTTAGTATGCTTGGATCACATAGTGTTATTGCGTTATAGATTTATAAAATATCATAATGGTATAGGAGAAGTATAGGAACATGCAGTAATATAGCACTATACTATTTAGTATTGATGGTATTACAGAATTATATAGGTTCTAGGTTAACATACAGTATATATGTGCTGTTTTTTAAGGTGTTTATCATCATCATTATCACTATTATAATTCTAGGTATTATTATTATTGTTATTGTTGTTGTTGTTATTGTTATAATTATCATTATCATCATTAGAGCTGCCTTATGTTTATCATCGTAACTTTTAAGCTGCTGTTAATATTGATTTCATTTACTTATATCATCTTTGCTGCATCTGCTGCTGTTGTTGTTGTCTCGATTTTTATTTATAATGTTATTTTTAATTTGTTATCAGTCAGACGGGCGGATTTATTTCTCAAAAGGTAGGCAAAGTTGTTTTTGCTTATCACACGAGTTTTAAACGCACATCTCGCTATTGTATAATCGGTGACTTCGTGCAAAATTGGTCCTCGTTTTATTAATTAATCGTTGTGCAGGTCTGAAACAGCTCTCAGTACAAATTTTAAAAATTTGGACTGAGGTTGTTTTCAAATTAGCTTTGGACCTAGCCAAAATTTTCCATTCTAGAAGATAACCCTTGTTTACATCACTGTTTTTTCATGTTATTGTTATGATTGTTGTTATTACTGTTGTTGTTGTTGTTGTTACTGTTTTTGTTGTCATTGTTGTTGTTGTTATTATTTGTGGTTATTATTGATTTTGCCGATATTTTTTATGTTGACACAATTTTTTCTTTCTTGCTCGCCATACGTTACATGTTTGTTGTTGTTGTTGTTGTTGTTGTTGTTGTTGAGGTTAAATGCATTGTTATATCAACATGTTTTTAATAAAATTTTCACACACACACACACACACACACACACACACATACATACATACATACATAATATTTGTTTGTGGTTATGTGTTATTTTTATAACAAAAACAAACCACAATATTGCACTTTCACTTTTCAAATCACCAGAAAAAAATGAAAATAATTTTAGTTTAAATATAAACGAATGGAAATTTTTGTTTACGTTATTTAAGCCTCTTAATGATGCAAGAAAAAATTTTTACAACGCTATGAAAGAAGTTTTTATGACAATTATAAACATCTTAAGGCAGGTTTTTTAATTGAGATTGTTTTAATTAGAGTGAATAATTTGGAAATTGGAAAATTGAGACTGGAAAATAACGTTTAAAGCAAAAGATTGTATTTAATTGTTTTGTGGTGTTAGATTTGCACAAAACTTTCATAGTTTTGTATATAATCGTCATTAGCGCGTTTCATTTATCTGGAAAACGATCAATCATTTAATTAATCAGTGATTCGTTCATTTAATATCAATCATTTAATCCATCGTTCATTTATTTATTATTAACCAATCATTTACGTTCTCGATACATATATCAATCGTTTATCCAATCAATCAATCAATCAATCAATTAATCAATCAATCAATTTATCTATCTATCAATCTATCTATCTATTCATCAATCAATCAACCAACCTACCAATCAATTTTTCATTTCAGGTCGCCAACAGCTGAACACGGCACTGGGAAAAGGAGACCAATGTTTCAAGAAAGGTCACTAAGTTATTTTAATAACATAAACTAACATAAAATTATCTATATTAACATAAGCTTACATAAATTAACATAAGCTTACATAAATTAACACAAACTTACATAAATTAACATATCTTTAAGTTAATAAACTTGCATCTACTTGAATTAGCGTAAATTTCCTCACATTACGCTGCATCACTTTCTGCTATACATTATAACAATCTCATAACTCAACCAAATTTTTAACAGAAACCCAAACCAAAGCATACTTCGCGCGCAAACACAAACAAACAAAAAAAACAAAAACCTGAACAGGAAATGGATTATATTCAGACGACAAGAAGCGGATGGAGTTCTTGAGTACTATGCAGATGTTTTCATATGCAGACGCTCCACACGTCTTGAAGGCTTTTGACCTGAAGCAATACAAAACCGCCATTGACCTTGGAGGTATAGGGTGTTGGGCTTTGAATCTAATTTAGTAATTTATAATCTTTCATTCGTTCGTCATTTATTCATCATTCATTTTCTCATTATTGTCTAATTCACTTATCATTCACCCAACGTTTATTCATTCATTTATTTATTTTTCATCCATCACTCATTCAGGAGGAACCGGGGCATTCGGGCTGACCCTGGCCAAAAAGTACCCCTCCATGCACGTGACTGTGGCCGACTTACATGACGTCGTCAAGATGGCCGACCAATTTTTGCCTAAAGATGTGCCTGAAAATTTACACTATGAAATCAGTTCGTTCCTTTTTCCACAAGCTGTTTCATTTTTATGAATTTCGTCTTTAAACTTCAGTGCGTGACTACAAGCAAAAAACATTTCATATGTACCTACTTGGTAGTAACAACAGGCAATTAAGCAATCACTAGATCAACAAATGCAAATAATAATTGTTGTCACCAATGCCGTAGACCCCATGTTTAAGACGAGATGTTTTCAAATGCTTTTAATTTAATCAACGGGTCTTAAATGGGATGAGGATCTTTATAACAAGTGTAAAAATAAAGTTCATTCTATTTAATTCAATTTTCTTAACAAACACACACACGCACACACACAAACAAACACACACACGGCACCTACAGAAGACTTCTTCGAAGACAGCTTGACCCCTGCTGACCTCTACATCCTGAGCAACGTCGTACACGATTGGGACGTCGAACACCTGGATAAGCTACTCACGAAAGTTTACCACGCCATCAAACCAGGTGAGGTGACGACGATGATGATGATGATGACGACGATGATGACGACGATGATGACAAAGGTGATAATGCTATGTACAAATACACATGCTGATTTCGGATGTTACGCGTTGGGTGAACATTAAGACCTCTATATTATGTTATGCGTTGTGGTTTTAATAAAGAAACGCCAGTTGAAGCCTTGCTTAAGTAAGATTAGGAGTGTATACATTTTATTCAAAATATTAAAATATTTGGTGTCAAATTAATTTATACGTAGTCGTCTAATGAACATTATAAGGTGATCTTCGTTATAGCTGCCGATGTCATCATCACAATCATGATTTAAAAACTCCTTGATATCATTGCCTCAGTTGATTAAATGAGAAAAATTGTCATCGGTTTCAAATATCGAAACTAGTTCAGACGTTCAAATAAGTCGGTCAACTAGATCTGTCTGCTGAATGTTACGTACTGCCATTCATCATTCTTATCTAGATTGCTTTATTTGATGTTCTTATTATTAATATTTTTTATTTATTATTGTTATTGTTATTATTACCTCTGCTGTTGTTATTACTAATGTCGTCTATACGAAATTGAGCCGTGTTGTGTTGTGTTTGTGGTCTTGAAGTTAGTAGAGTAGAGTGTTACTCATTATGATGATGTTTTCTTGTCCTTTCGTGTTATGTTGTGCTATAAATAATGAAGAATGTGAGTTAAAAACAACATCAATCAAGACAAAATCACAAAACAAAAGTGTTAACGCATCAACAGTAATAAAACACTCATTCATGTTTAGACACTTAAAAAAATCACAAACTAATGAACAATGGTCTAGAGTCTAGACCGCAACAGAAACAATTCATAACTTGGTTTTGCTATGCCAAGTACCTGCCGATCTGTTGACACATATGCGTTTGTTGTGTTGTCTATATAGTTTCCTTTTTAAATATATTTGCATGTTCCAGACTGGATGCAAGATATATACATACATCAAAACATCTGACCTGATTATGAAATGAAAATATTATTCGCATACTTTGGATGAATGTGCAAATGTGTGTGCGTGTTTCTTCAAACAATTAACAATAATTTATTGCAATATATTTTTTACTTGACGTTTAATGCTGCTTCCAAACCTGTTTAGGACAAAAGCGCACGTACGCGGCTATGATTTAATGACGGGAGCATATTTTAAAAACTAAAATATAGAGTAAGAAGCTTAATATCATATTTTACTTTCTCCTACCCTCGATAAGTATTCAAAATGTGTATATATTATATACATAAACGAAATGAGATTTGAGACTGCAGTACATACAAACGATATATTGCGATGTACAAAAGCTGAAAATGCAGTGACATTTCTCAATAATTTCATATCTATATAATAATAAATAATACAATTATTTATAAAACTCACAGCATGTTCTGCGTTAGCTAGTAATCTCTATCAACAATTGCATTTCTGACAGTCTTAAACCGATAATAAATAATAATACGCATACACACACGTGAATGTATATAGCCCAACACCACTTAAATCCATCTCCAACTAGGTGGTGCTTTATTAGTTTTGGAGAAAATTTTGAACGAGAACAAAGACGGCCCGCTATCGACACTCATTCTCGACCTGGGCATGCTGGTGACCGTGAACGGCAGGGAGCGGACCGCGGCAGAGTACAAACAGCTTTTCTCTGAATACGGATTCAAGAACATTCGGATAAAAGTTCTTCCTGAAGCCCGCCTGAGGGATGCCATCCTGATGGAGAAGTTGCTGCTTCCCACCGAGATGAAAGAGGAGGAGATATCGTTAGGAGAGATGAGGAAGGTTGTCGATGATTTGAAGTAATCGTTCAGGGTTTAAGAATTGTTTTTATTATTTAGTTGTTACTATCACATCTATTATTATTATTATTATTTAGTTACAATTATTATTTCTATTATTATTATTTAATTATGCAAATTAAGTATTATTTATATATTAAGATGTATACAAATATTTTCATTACCATTGGACTGCAAGCTAAGGAGATAGAAGTTTAACATGTTGATGCATTTCACGTAATGAGATCAATATCTATATTGGTGTTTCCTATATATTATATATATATATATATATATATATATATATATATATATATATATATATATATATATATATATATATATATATATATTAACTTTTTAATGTCTGTACATTTTTTTTAATTTGTCCATATAATATATACATGTATATAACCATTATAACCATACATAAGGACTTCAATATAACGTACTCTTTTACAACGATAAGTTTTTACTTTCAAACCCCAGCTATATATTACTTAGTAAATAATGACGGAGATATGACTCAGTGATAATCTTAAATAGTGACAGAATTTTTGTCTTCTATAAATCGCACGTACCGACAAAATTTAATAAACGAAGTTTTATCTGAATAAATTATTTATGATTCTATATTTCGAAACTTATATCATTACAAATATTTGGTTACACACTTATTAAATACCTTTAAATTTTGCTAAATGCCCTTACAATTTTGCATGGAGTCGTCGTTTTTGTTGATGTACTGCCATTTAATTTCCCAAAGATCATGTTCTATGACATTTACTAATATACCGCTTAATGATTAGTGAATCTAAAGAACGATACCGTTTAGTAGTGTGTAGGCGCAATAATGAACAGCTTTCAATATAATGCTTAATATTTATATCAAGTATGACAATTTAACTAATCAATATATGTATCATTTATGACAATTTAACTAATCAATATATGTATCATTTATGACAATTTAACTAATCAATATATGTATCATTTATTATGTCACTTTCTGTTAATGTCCAGACTAAACAATTTTTACGTGAAATAAAACATAAAACTTGTTCATTCAAAACACACACACACACACACAAACCAACTACACACACATATACAGACACATACAAACACATAGAGACACATACAAACTAACTCAAACTATGTGGAGACGGAGAGTGCCATTGTGCAAAAACGATTATGTGCAACATCTATGAACAATTTTCTGTTTTATTTTTTTTATCATTTCGAACAATTTTAAATGATTTGTATTTATTTCGTGATTTAATGGTGTGCATATGATGTCTCGATATGAAATTTAAATTTTTTTTAAATTTTTCAACTAATTTTAACCAAACTTTATTTAAAATTATTTCATTTTAATTAAGTTTTGGTGGTAGAGATGACATTAGCTTAACGACAAATTATTTTGTCACAAATTAATTTTAATATGCAACGTTTTTCTGTAAAAGGTTGTCAAATTGTTTCCATATCTTCTTCGTCACCATAAACTATAAAGTTTTCTCTCCATTCGACACATTGACCGAAACATAAGCACAAACATTAAGTTACTCTATAATAAGCATACTACTGTTTTAAACCATCACTCTAAACTATTGTTTTAATTATTTCTAGCTTACCTGACAGTTTGACACAAAATCTATAATAAGCATACTACTGTTTTAAATCATCACTCTAAACTTTTGTTTTAATTATTTTTAGCTTACCTGACAGTTTGACACAAATGTACCGCCAACCTGTTTTATAAAAGTCCACTACACTGGCTTGCGCTGCCGTACGGAGCAGACATTTCGTTTGTTTAGAAATTTTGTCTATTGAGAAAATTACCAAACAATATCTCGATAGTTTCCTTGGTGGACGCCTAGGTCAAGACTTGATGGCCGTGCTGTCTGTTTACCGGTCAACATTTTTTTAGTTGTGGACAGTGCAATCTTTCATTAATTATACCTAGTTTATTTGATTATTGAAAAGAAATCGAACATGTCTAATCAATGTTTGATGGAGGAAAAGCAGCTTGGCAAGGTCTTACCTCACTAGTTTTAATAAGTTACTTTACTGGTTTTTCTGTTCCTTGTCCAGGAAGGCAAATCTGGTAATTCTATGTAAAAAAAATAAAATAGGATAATTTTTTATTTATGAACAATCCCAGAAGTTTTGTAGACAGAATCCATTTGTCGAAAAATCATGAGACACCATGTGTTTTATGAACATGGTACCTGAGACCACGTGTTTTACGAATATGGTTGTTCCATACCACGCGTTCTAAGCTCAGTTGACGCTGAATAAATAAATGCCATTAAAATTCAAAAACTGATTTATACTGATAGCAAACTATATCATTTAATTCATATAATAAGAGGATACACTAGACTTGAAAAAACATAATTTAACATTTGTTTTACAATATAATTAATTAATATATTTGACATTTACATTGACAATTTAATTTAACATTTGTTTTAAAATATAATTAATTAATACATTTGCCATTAATTATTTTTCAATGTATTTTACAACATAGATACTTAAGATGAAGATGATCAATTATCTTTGGGTTACCTGACTATATATACCTCGCATGCATTGAGCTGGCTTCAAATCCTTCCCTGCTATCGTTCGGATTATAGCGCCAGAGTTATTCATTGATTAATACGACTTATTAGCTTTAATTTTAGCGTTATATTTAGATATTTGATTTAATTAATTAAATTCGATAACAGAGCAAAGAGTTTGGACTGGAAAATTCTTCAAAATATAATTTAGACGTCACGCTCTTTATTGATGGCGAGCTAAACAAAATATTGCGCATCACGTTTATTTCACCGGATATTAACTGCATTTTTAGTCTTCACGCTCTTCCCTAAAAACAATTGATTAAATCTTCAATTATTCGCGTTTGAAATTAGAATAAAATAATGTCTTACAAAGACAACGATAAAAAAAGGTTTGTTTTGAAATTTTAAATATTTTTCTATTGATTTAATTTTCTATTTATTAAATTTTAGCATTTTGTTTCACTTTCAGAGTTGCCGGTAAAACTCAGAATTTCAATTCTGGTGGTAGTGCCGAAAGAGATGGCTACGGCCAGCGATCCGGTCGTGATTACGACCGCAACAAAGATAATGATTCAAGTCAGATAAGAGCTGAGGCAGGATCTGACGGCAAGGCGGCCAATGAAGTCGTCGGAGATAGACCCAATGACCTCAGGCAGGAAGGTCTTATTGAGGTTTGTTTCTTTTCCGGTTTTTTATAAATAAATTTGCTTTCAAGTCTAGCTAGCACCCTAGTCATGATGGTTTTGAATTTAGTTTATTGGTCATTACCAGCTTGTTTAATATTTTAATTTTTAACTCTTTTTCTTCTGTTCAGAGTAATTGGGACGAAGTTATTGAAAATTTCGATGACATGAACCTCAAAGAAAATCTGCTTAGAGGTGTCTACGCATATGGCTTTGAGAAACCATCAGCTATTCAACAGAGGGCAATAATGCCATGCACGAAGGGATTTGATGTCATTGCACAGGCTCAGTCAGGTACTGGTAAAACAGCAACTTTTGCAATTGCAATATTGCAGAAAATCGACACGTCCCTAAAAGAATGTCAGGCCTTAATTCTTGCCCCTACCAGAGAACTTGCTCAACAGGTACTTTTCACTGTTGCTCTTATTAATGTTGCTTTTATTGCCATGTTGTTTTTGTTGTTAGTTAGTTCAATATCATTAAAAGGCTACTTCAGTATGAATGAAATTTTTTAAAATTTCTTGTACTTTCCAGAAGCTGATGAATAATATTTTTATTTGCAATGTTTTTCACAGATTCAGAAGGTAGTTGTGGCGCTCGGGGACTACATGAAGGCTGAATGTCATGCATGTATCGGGGGTACTAATGTCAGGGAGAACCTACATCGACTATCAAGTGGGGTGCATGTTGTCGTCGGTACACCTGGAAGAGTTTTCGATATGATCCAAAGACGAGCTCTTAGTAATTTTATTTTTTCATTTATTTCATATTTATTATTTTATAATTCTCTATATTTAATAACTATAACTTGATTATCCAGATACAAAATACATCAAACAGTTTATATTGGATGAGGCAGATGAAATGTTATCCAGAGGATTCAAGGATCAGATATACGATGTCTTCAGAACTCTCAATGAAAATATTCAGGTATGTTAGGCATGCTTATAAGGCGTGTTTACTGATACTATGTTTTTTTATGCCATTGTTTATATTTCAATTTTTGGTTTGTTTTTTTTACTAAGTTTTAAGCTGTATCAAACGGTTTGTCTAGTCATGTTTATGATGAATCAGAAATTTATTTATATGCATTTGTAAAATTATTTCCCATCTATCTAGGTCATACTCCTATCAGCAACCATGCCTGACGACGTGTTGGATGTCACCAAGAGATTCATGCGTGACCCAATTAGGATTCTCGTGAGAAAGGAAGAGCTGACATTGGAAGGAATCCGTCAATTCTACGTCGTCATAGAACAAGAGGTTTTAATCAGTTTTATTTTAATCAGCTATTTTAATTATTATTTATTTAAATCACTTTTTTTTAAAAAAACTCAATTAAATTTTAACACTCATTGCTTGCTCAGGAATGGAAACTAGATACGCTCTGTGACTTGTACGAGACTCTGACCATAACGCAAGCAGTCATCTTCTGTAACACCCGTCGCAAAGTTGAATGGCTTACTGAGAAAATGCACCAACGAGACTTCACCATCTCTGCTATTGTAAGCAAGCTTTCCACTTTTTAATATTTTCCATGTATAAGTTCACTTTTAACACTTGCCTTTGTGGAGTATTTCAAAAGATTGTAACTTTATTTAGATTTTAGCATAATTTTTCAGTTTTGATTATTTCTGTATAGTTTCGAAAGATTGAAAGATTAAAATTTTATTTAGATTTAACACAATTTTTCAATTTTGTTTTCACTCATATACAATTTTCTAATTTTTTGTTACTCTATAAATTTGCATGACAGCACGGAGACATGGAGCAAGGGCAGCGAGATGTGATCATGAGAGAGTTCAGGTCGGGGTCCAGTCGAGTTCTCATCACTACAGACCTCCTAGCTAGAGGTATCGACGTGCAACAAGTTTCGTTAGTCATCAACTACGACGTGCCCACCAATAGAGATAATTACATTCACAGGTTATTTTTTAATTTTTTTTCTTGTGTTATACGGTATTCTATAAATGTTTTCCTAATTTATCATTTACAATTAAACTATATTTTGATATGTTGGTCCGATTAGTTTTTTATTTATTTTAATTCAAATAGGATTGGAAGAGGTGGTCGTTTCGGCAGGAAAGGTGTCGCGATAAACTTCGTAACGAATGAGGACAGGAGAATAATGAAGGATATTGAAACATTTTACAACACCACAATAGAAGAAATGCCCATGAATGTGGCTGATCTTATTTAAATGAATTGAATGGATCAAATTAATGAATGAATGAAGCATTCCTTCTATTGAATTGCTGGAATGAATGAATGATTCCTTCTACTAAATTTACTAAATTGTTGGATGAATGAATGATTTCTTCTATTGAAAAGCTGAATGAATGTTGTAGTTATGTTATTAAACTCATGATAGTTTGCTAGTAGGGTATTACTATTTTGTTAATGATGAACTATATATTAATAATATATATCTTAGATTGATTGGTTGGTTGATTGATAAAAATTTTGTGAATATGTATTATAATAATAAATAAATATGGAAGTTGTACGCGTTCGTTGTCTATTCATTGAAATTTTAAGTTAAATTTGATGTTATTTTGATTGATTTAATTTTGTCCAATGTATTCATGATACGTTTAGTTAATAGATAAACGAATGGTGAAGATTTGCTTATAAACGAAGCCTTTCCTTTGATTTACCATCATTTTCATATGTCGTCATTCGTTGTCATTTTCATTTGTAACCGTCTGTTCCTAAATAATATTTATATTTTTGTCAGAAACTTGCATTTTTCTACATCTGCATTATAGTCTTCAATCCAGGAATTCCACATCTAACTTTCTACTCATTTTTTTACCGTTGTAATTATTCGTTCCGTCTTTGCCCGTATGTTGCATTTATTTATTTGCTTAGCTCATATGTTTATACTATAAACTACTTATCCGTATGTAAATTTTTCGACGTATGCATATTTTCTTTGTAATGTTTTCTCAACGTACCTAAGAACTGCTTTGTAAGAAATGAAAAATTTTAAGTGTTTTAGTCGAATATTTTCATTTCTTAGGAAAATTTAATTTTAAACCATATCTTTTCATTATATTTTCGTTGTGTCTGAACTCATATCATATTTCATTAACGATATGCATATATTTTACTACGTGTAACATACAAAAACGTGTTTGTACGCCTGTATACATAGATCTATACATTTGTATGTTTGCATGTTCTGTTTGTATATATATAAATATATGCATCACTTGATTTAAATTACAAACGTTTTAATATTATTGATTAATTTATTAAATTCTGCAGCGTTTAGCAATCTGTTTATTTTTAATTTTAAGTTTCTTTCAATCAAAAATGTCCGGCATTTGCTTAAATACACATTAAAAACTTACCTTGTTTAAAAACTTACCTTGTTTTCTTCTGTTTGACTACCATAAACATCTCGATGCTTATCAGATGTTGTAATTCGTTAAATATGTTCGGATTATTGTAGAGATAATCATTTATTAGATTAAACATTCAGATCTTTGTGAAAAATGCGTTCATTTGTGCACTAACCGAAAATTTTAACATTTGGTTGATCGAATCAGCGATTTTAGTCAGTTTTTTGCGGTTTAATTAATTTTGTTCTTTTAAATATTACAAATGCATATTAAAAATGATTGCTAGTTAAATTTTATTTTGCAGTGCCTTGCAAACAGAAGTCAGTTGGAAACGTTGAAAAAGGTAAAGAATTGCAACCATAGCATCTTATTTTAGCCTTACGGGTCTTCGAAAATATATAAAGTTGCATTGGAAAAAATAAAATCAGATTTTTAAAATTACCAATCAGCCATGGAATCATGTAAAATTTTACATAAGAGGTTTAACAAGAAAGTTAAGAAATAAATTTTTCAGTAATTAATATATTTAACTAATTTTTTTCGTTCAAAGAATAATGAAAATGACTTTGCAAGACTGAATTTATTTACATGTAAATAATAGTTGTGATATGTTTCACGTAACATGTATCTAAACGAAATGACGTCAAGCAAGAGTACACATGAACCTGTCACACATTTAATGCATAGCTCAGAAATAATACAACCTTTCCCTAATATTCGAAACAGTCACATTACGATACAGATAAGTTAAGTTATAAATCTCTATGTACAAATATTTACATCAATAAATAATATTTCAAGTATTCAGAAAAATAAAAAAAAAATTAAAACTATTCTGACTCTATATTGACAGATGACCACAATTTCAATATTGCAGTTATATGCTTCTCGATTTTGACTCAAATTGTGGAGTAAAAATAAGATTTTAAATAAAATTATAAACAAATAAGACAGACAGACAAGATCATAGAGCCAGCCATGGGTGTGCCAATATGGATTCTTTGCTACGATCTCCATAGTCGTAAAGAATCTCATCATTGTTTTTGATAGTTTTATTTGCAACCAAAATTAGTCGTGGTACATTTTCGACCACAACCACTTTGGTCGAGCAGTTCGGTTTCAATCGACTGTGATTTACTAATCTTCCTAGACGACCTGTTTCTGCTGTAGCGTCAATGCTGTTCAAAAAAGAAGAAATTACATTAAGACTACATTTAAAAACAAACTACAGTGAATCTTTATGGTCCAAAAATATTATACAAAACAAAAAAAACTATCAACATATAATTTTTAATTTAAAATGTAACAAATGTGTTAGAAATTTAGAATTCATTTTAGAGAGAAATTGAAAACAAACCAATAATTTTTGTTTTTGTACTTGAAGTAGTACATGTAGCAGCCAACAGCAGACGAGTGATTGTATTTGCCTTCCCGCTCTCTAGCAGTAGAAAGTTCAATCAGCTCACCCGCATACTCAACCACAAATTCATTTTTGTTGAAAGTCCTGGCAGCGACAACTCCTCGTCCTTTTCCTTCTATGTCCTTCACCTGTTAAATAATTTTATTTCGTTTTTTATCTATTTGAATAACTCGATTTATGAATAACTTAATTTAATTTACTTTGTAAAATTGTTTTTCAAAGCTAAAAATTGTACTTACCATTAAATTGCTGCTGTCTTTTTCTCTCTCAACTTCCTGAATACATCTCTCTAGTTCCTCTTTTTCTTTATTCTGAAAAAAAAAATTAATAAAACGAATATTCATGATGCTAGCATGAAAATATAATTGCATTCATTACAAGCCAGAACTAAAATTACTTTCAAGTCTTTAGTATTGGTTCTGCAGCTTCTTCTAAGTGTGAAAAATTCATTGATCTTTGTCTGCCTGGAAAAAAAATATTACAAACACTTGAGAAAAAAAAATTATTATACAAATAATGAGTACATAAATAAAAAACTTGGACCATTTAAGATAAAAATATTACAGATGTTGTTTAGTTTTTTTGTTGTTCAATAAATTTAAATAAGATAGAATAAATGTCAGTAGGGTTTGGGGTGATGATAAAATACAATATGAAAATTTTTTATTAGTCATAAAGATTGAAATTTGTCTAGCGTTAAAGAAGTAGAAATACAATGAAATATATCTAAAAAACAAACCTTTCAAATGAATTTTCATTAATTTCATTAAAATTTTTAGCTTTGCGAGGGGCCATCTGTTAAAAAAATGAAATTAATTACTAAAAATAATATAATAAAATAGAAACTATCAAATTTTGTTAATATTTAACACTTGTTTATAATATTTATTTGAACAAAACTCTGAGGAAAAAATTATTATGAAGAAGGCAAATTTATATTTATCACAAAAACTGAAAAAGGACCTTTTATTGTGTGTAATAATTCTGTGTGATATTAAGAAATTACAGATAATTTTTAATTTACCAGATGATTTCTCAATCCTTTTTATATATATAATATATATAATATATCTAAACTAAACTTATTATTAAACATAATTAAAGTTTACAATTGTACCTCTTTCATTTACTACTTTTACAAGAGGTCTTTCTCAATTAATATTAAATCTTACTTACAATTTACAATTAGTTTAACAACTTTTCAAAAACTAAAAAGTTTAAGTATCGTAAAAATAAATGAGTTGTATTAGTATTGTTACTATTGTAGTATAATTTATTTTTATACTTATATTTTTTATATCACCTTTCTTGGTGATTCAATTCAAATTGTAAAGTTACTTCATTTGGTTTTTAAAAAATGTCACCAGCAGAAAAGCTGCCTACTATCGTCTTTTATTATGACATCTTTTAATGTTTGGTCTTAATCTGTAAATTAATCTTTAAAGTCACTAATTAGGGCTGTAGTGCTGAATTAGTGCTGAAGAGTTTTTTATTTAAAATTACCGCTCTGATCACAAAATTTCATCGAAAGAGTGAAATTCTTTATAAAAATTATCTAAAATTATTTGTCAATAAAAGTTTAAAAAAATAATTAAAAAATATTTACCTGTTTAAATGATAAATAATAATCAAATCGAAAAATATTTTTAAAGTTTAAATCTCTAATTTAAAAAAAGCTGAAATGAAAACAAAGAAATTAAATTAAAATCGTAATATAATTTGTGCAGTACCCGCGATGTCATCATCACATTTTGATACACTTCCTGTCAATTTGTTTACAAGCTTTTATATTTACGGTAATTAATAAATATTTTATGATTTTACAATATACATACATTAATTCGATAATATAAAACAGTATTATTTATAATTTGTAGTTTTTTTTACAAGAGATTCGTTTAGTGGATCCGTACCCACATAACTAAAATAAATATAACGGCCTTCGCTCACTTTTAACGGTCGAACAAGGAGCTTACTTCCGAAAGAGATTTGGAGGGTGATTTATTATCGTTCGAGTCAAGAGTCGGGCTACTTGACATGCTTGGATTATTGGCTTACGAAATTGCAGGGATTTTAACGAGCAAGCTATATAAAATATTTACTTGACTTAATATGCTTAAAACATTGTAGTAATTCTTTTTAATTTTATTAAATAAAATTATGATTTTATTAAATATTATCATAATATATTTAATATTATATATTAAATATATTATGTATTATTAAATTATTGTTGTTAATTTGAATATAAAAATTATACTTTTGGTCCTGTGAAATCCGGTGGCTTTTTACTGAAGCCGCAGGTTGGCTTAGTAGGATTGAACTAAAGTCATCCTTTTTTACACTATTCGATCATGTTAAAAATTTGTTTGCTCATGAAATAAACGGCCTAAATAGATCAAAATTGTTATTTGAACAACTATCTTCATTACATTCAATGAATATTTTACATTCTGCTGGTGCTCATAGAAATTATGGTCGCTGAAATCATACGTTGGCTTACTGGGTCTCATACAACAGTGTCGTGGCGGTAAGTCAATATATTCATTTCACAATTATTTTTGTCAATATAAAGAAAGAAATTGCTTTTGTCTGGTAAAAATTTTTAAAATTGTCTGGTAAAATTGTCTGGTAGAAATTGCTTTTGTCTGCTTTTGTCTGGTGGCCAAGTAAAGCCGTATGTTGACTTAATCGGATTTTTTTTTTCATATATACAATACTATGAGATCAATCAATCAACCAATCAATCAACCAACCATTCATTCAATCAACTAATCAACCAACCAATCGACCAATCAATGAACCATATTTGAAAAATATTTGCAAGGCTTGTTCAAACTCGAACAAACACTTAACTGTACAGATCTACAAACAATTTCGAGATTTTAGTAAAGAAAGAAAAACACAGTTGCTTTTATTAAATCAAGAAATATCCAAAAATTATATAACCAAATTTAAAAAACTAGAAACCAGTCAACATTTAATAAATAATTTAATAAATAGACATTATTAAAAAGATTGTTCAAAAAGGTAAAATTTAAGGCGACGACGAGAATAAAATGTAGTTTGTTTTGTTGGTGTGGGGCTGTGAAGCGAAAACAAACACATCACAAAAAACTAGTAAAAAGTCGCAAGAATAGTAGTCAGTCACCTACCTACAATTAAATTACTCTCAGGGCCCTAGCTTACTTATAATAATTAACTCAACTCACCTACCTACAAATATGTTTTTCTACGTTTTTGGAATTTTACATGTTTTAGGTATTTTATTTTACATATTTCAGCATTTTTATTTTACTTGAAACTTTTTAACTAATTTTAAGCCCCAGTCTACCTACGATTGTTCAACTCATCTCAATCCCTAACTTACCTACGAATTAAATTAAGTCTGGTAAAGGAAATAGAAAGTTGAAGAAAAACATAACAACAACGACACCGAATGAATGGATGTTGTGTATGTGTGTTTTATTGATGTGTGCGTGTAAATGTGCGGGCGTGTACTCTCTAAAAACTTCTTCACTCACTACGGACGAACCTCCATTGCACCGACCATCATCTGACACGCATCGATGGAATGAATTAGACCGGATACTGAAAAACACTAAATTGAAAAAAATAATAATTCTTTAAAGTAAAAAACAAGCCATTGGAAAAAAAGGCAACTTACCTTATTGAGATGACAAATTCGAGTACTTTCAATGGTACGATGGTACAAGAACAAATTTTCTTTTATCTTCAAATTGTCATCGGAACGATCATCATGAGACCACCATCTGAAACATGCTGACGCCCACCACAGCCCACCTCTCATCATCCTGTAGACAAGTTTTTTTTAATTAGCGTGTTGATAAATAATCAAGGAACAAAAGAACGAACGAATAAATGATTAACTGAATGATTGAACGATTGGTTGAATGAATGAATAATTAATTAATCAATCAATAAATGATTTAACGAATGAATAGAATGAATCAATTAGTGGAGGAATAATTTGAAAGATAGTGATAAAATGAATGAGAAAAATAAAAAAAAAACTAAACCATACTTCAAAAATCGTCGTTGTTGTTTTCTTCAAATTGTCATCGGAACGATCATCATGAGACTACCATGTGAAACGTGCTGACGCCCACCACAGCCAACATCTTATCATTCTGTAAAAAGTTTTTATTAGCTTAGTAGTAAATCAAGGAACATAGGAACGAACGAATAAATGATGAACTGAATGATTAAATAATTAGATAATTAGTTAAAAGACTGAATGAATGAATGAATAGAATGAATTAACGTCAATTAATGGAAGAATAATTTGAAAGATTGAGGGAAAAAATGAATGAATGAGAAAAACAAAAAAAAACGAAACTAAACCTTACTTCAAAAATCGTCGTTATTTTAATCCATTGCACCGACCACCACATTCAGATCGGCACACAAGATTTCATCCGAACTTCTGAGTGTCAGTCGAACAGCCAACGCGCTGATTCTTCCTACACCACATCATCATACGTAAATCATCATGAGACCACCATTTGAAACGTGCTGACTCCCACCACAGCCCACCTCTCATAATTCTGTAGACAATTTTTTTATTAGCGTAGTAGTAAATGAATGTTAGAATCTCAGAAGCAAAAAATTATAAAATGGAAATAATGGCAAATAAATAATAACTAAAAATAATAAAGAGATTAAAATGTAAAAAAAAACTTACCGTCGTCCATTCGACAAAGGCAGAATGTTGAATGCTTTCCGGTTCCTACGTTGTCTTCCAAAACTGGTGCCAGTCCTCCTCGAGATTGTTGTTGAAACACAGCCCGTGTTGATGGAAAAGATAAACAGAAGATTCTCATTAGAAAGCTTAGCGGTGCCTGCATCTCAAATTGCTTAATAAAAATAATCCTATCTACCTATTCAATTACTTTAGCTAATTTATATTAAATTATTAATGGTACGATAGTCGAAAGTCCCCCTTCATTCTCCATCCTTGCACAAAGGCTCACCGACAGCCAGGGCACCGGATAGTAAACCATTGCCGTGCGGATAGTAGACTATTGCCGTGCGGATAGTAAACCATTTGCCGTCCGGAAGCCGTGCGGGTAGTAGACTATGGCCATGC